GGATTGGAATAGTCTTCGAAGGAATGGTACCAGCTCCTCTTTGTACCTCTGATAGAATTCAGCTGTGAATCTGTCTGGTCCTGGAGTTTTTTTGGGGAGTAGCCTATTAATTATTGCCTCAATTTCAGAACCTGTTTGATATTGGTCTACTCAGAGATTCAGCTTCTTCCTGGTTTAGTCTTGAGAGGGTGTATGTGTCCAGGAATTTATCCATTTCTTCTGGATTTTCTAGTTCATATGTGTAGAGGTGTTTATAGCATTCTCTGATGGTAGTTTATATTTCTGTGGTATTGGTGGTGATATCCCTTTTATCATTTTTTATTGCATTTATTTGATTCTTCTCTCTTTTCTTCTTTATTAGTCTGGCTAGTGGTCTATCTATTTTGTTGATCTTTCAAAAAACCAGCTCCCAGATTCGTTGATTTTTTGAAGGGTTTTTTGTGTCTCTATCTCCTTCAGTTCTGCTCTGATCTTAGTTATTTCTTGTCTTCTGCTAGCTTTCGAATTTATTTGTTCTTGCTTCTTTAGTTCTTTTAATTGTGATGTTAGGGTGTCGATTTTAGATCTTTCCTGCTTTATCTTGTGGGCATTTAGTGCTGTAAATTTCCCACTACACACTGCTTTAAATGTGTCCCTGGGATTTGGGTATGTTATGACTTTTTTCTCATTGGTTTCAAAGAACATCTTTATTTCTGCCTTCATTTCATTATTTAACCAGTAGTCATTCAGTAGCAAGTTGTTCAGTTTCCATGTAGTTTTGTGGTTTTCTTAATCCTGAGTTCTAATTTGATTACACTGTGGTATGAGAGATAGTTTGTTGTGATTTCTGTTCTGTTACATTTGCTGAAGTGTGTTTTACTACCAATTATCTGATCAATTTTAGAGTAAATGTGATGTGGTACTGAGAAGAATGTATATTCTGTTGATTTGGGGTGGATATCTATTAGGCCTACTTGGTCCAGAGCTGAATTCAAGTCCTGAATATCCTTGTTAATTTTGTGTCTCATTGATCTGTCTGATATTGACAGCGGAGTGTTAAAGTCTGCCATTATTATATAGGAGTCTACGTCCTTTTGTAGGTCTCTAAGAACTTGTTTTATGAATCTGGGTGCTCCTGTATTGGGTGCATATATATATATATAGGATAGTTAGCTCTTCTTGTTGAATTGATCCCTTTACTATTATGTAATGGCCGTCTTTGTCTCTTTTGATCTTTGTTTTGGTTTAAAGTCTGTTCTATCAAAGACCAGGATTACAATCCCTGCTTTTTTTTTTTTTTTTTTTTTTTCATTTGCTTGGTAGATCTTCCTCCATCCCTTTATCTTGAGCCTATGTGTGTCTTTGCACATGGAATGAATCTCCTGAATACAGCATACCAATGGGTCTTGACTTTTTATCCAATTTTCCAGTCTGAGTCATTTAATTGTGGCATTTAGCACATTTACATTTAAGTTTTATATTGTTATGTTTGAATTTGATCCTGTCATTATGATGCTAGCTGGTTATTTTGCCCATTAATTGATGCAGTTTCTTCACAGCATTGATGGTCTTTACAATTTGGCATGTTTTTGCAGTGGCTGGTACCAGTTGTTCCTTTCCATGTTTAGTGCTTCCTTCAGGAGCTCTTGTAACACAGGCCTGGTGGTGACAAAATCTCTCAACATTTGCTTGTCTGTAAAGGATTTTATTTCTCCTTCCCTTATGAAGCTTAGTTTGACTGGATATGAAATTCTGGGTTGAAATTTA